CCCGCCCTGGGTGCCCGGCGTGCTGCCACCACCGACCCCTTCCTGCCGCTGTCAGCCAAGGAGGCTGCGGCCAGCGAGGAGGGGCGGCAGCGCACTCTTACCACCCTCCTGGAGAAGGTGGAGGGCTGCCGTGACCTCCTGCCCGAAAGCCCCGGCAAGTACCTCGTATACAACGGGGACCTGGTGGAGTACGACGCCGACCACATGGCGCAGATCCAGCGGGTGCACGCGTTCCTCATGAACGACTGCCTGCTCGTGGCCACCGCCCTCCCCAACCCCCGTGGTGCCTACCGCTACGATGCTCTCTACCCCCTCGACGGGCTGGCCGTGGTCAATGTCAAGGACAACCCACCCATGAAGGACATGTTCAAGCTGCTCATGTTCCCAGAGAGTCGCATCTTCCAGGCCGAGAATGCCAAGATCAAGAAGGAGTGGCTGGGGGGGCTGGAGGGGACCAAGCGCAACCGGGCTCTCAGTGAGAAGCGACGCCTGGAGCAGGAGGCCCTACCCCGGCCTGCCCCGACACCCCCTGAATCCACCAACCCCTTTGAGGAGGATGATGACGAGGAGAAGGAGGAAGAACCCTCTGCTGAGGAGGAGGTAGTCGACCTCTCACTTGAGTGGATCCAGGAGCTGCCAGAGGACTTGGACGTCTGCATCGCTCAGCGGGACTTTGAGGGGGCGGTGGACCTCTTGGATAAACTCAACGAGTATCTGGGGGACAAGCCCATGAACCAGCCCGTAAAGGAGCTGCGAGCCAAGGTGGATGAGCGTGTCCGACAGCTTACAGATGTGCTGGTGTTTGAGCTCTCTCCAGACCGCTCACTGCGGGGAGGGCCACGGGCCACCCGCCGCGCCGTGTCCCAGCTCATTCGCTTGGGCCAGTCCACCAAGGCGTGTGAGCTCTTCCTGAAGAACCGGGCGGCCGCGGTGCAGACGGCCATCCGACAGCTGCGCATTGAGGGCGCCACGCTGCTCTACATCCACAAGCTCTGCCATGTCTTCTTCACCAGCCTTCTAGAGACGGCGAGAGAGTTTGAGACAGACTTTGCAGGCAACAATGGCTGCTACTCTGCCTTCGTGGTCTGGGCCCGCTCTTCTATGAAGATGTTTGTAGATGCCTTCAGTAAGCAAGTATTTGATAGTAAAGAGAGCTTGTCCACTGCGGCAGAGTGCGTCAAGGTAAGCGGGTCCATAGAGGGTGGTGTGGTATGATGGCCAAAACAAAGGCTGCAAGGATTGTAAATCCTGTTTTCTAACCTTGCATTGGTTGTTGACCCTTGAATGGGTCTCCAGAGAGGTTTCTTGCATTAAAAGGTTAATATTTTATTTGGTTTGATTTGGTTTTTCAGTTTAACAGACAAGAACAATAGGATGAAAATACATGACGAGGAAAACCCTGCCTTTATCAGAAATGTGAAATGTGTTTATTTTTAATTTGCCTTTAACTAGTAGGAGGTTCTGAAATTTACATAAGCTGCATTTGAATGATGAATATTTTGAAATATTTTTGTTTGTTTTCCAAGCCTGTCTTGGACTACATTTCCATAATTTTTTGCAGGAGTAACTTTCTCAGGTTATGGTTTCTTCCAGCTGCTAATAGAAGGGGGAAAAAAAAAAAGAGTGTCTGTGTGCATGTTATAAAGTAATTGTCTAGATTATTTTTAACAGGCAGGGTTTGTCTTTTAGTTATTAATTTTTCATTAATAAGGAATTTCTTAAAGCAGCAGAAATACGTGCAGCATGACTAATGCTTTGTTTTCTGAGAATGATAGGTTGGGTAAGGGGGGCCTGCACACTAGTAACACCCTTTGCTTTTTGTTAATACCCAAGGTAGCTAAAGAGCACTGCAAGCAGCTTAGTGAGATTGGACTGGATCTCACCTTCATCATCCATGCCCTCCTGGTGAAGGATATCAAAGGTGCTTTGCAGAGCTACAAGGATATCATCATTGAGGCCACCAAGCACCGCAACTCGGAGGAGATGTGGAGAAAGATGAACCTAATGACTCCAGAGGCACTGGGGAAACTCAGGGAGGAGATGAGGAGCTGTGGGGTAGGCAATTTTGACCAATACACAGGTGATGACTGCTGGGTCAACCTTAGCTATACTGTAGTAGCTTTCACTAAGCAGACTATGGCTTTCTTGGAGGAAGCGTTAAAGCTTTACTTTCCAGAGCTGCATATGGTTCTTTTGGAGAGTCTTGTGGAAATCATCCTGGTGGCTGTCCAGCATGTTGATTACAGTTTACGGTGTGAACAGGACCCTGAGAAGAAAGCCTTCATTAGGCAAAATGCATCCTTCCTGTATGAAACTGTCCTTCCTGTCGTGGAAAAAAGATTTGAGGAAGGAGTCGGAAAGCCAGCCAAGCAGCTACAGGATCTGCGAAATGCTTCAAGATTGATGCGTGTGAATCCGGAAAGTACCACCTCCGTGGTGTGAAGTGACCTAACTGTTCACATGAACACTTACTGAAAACACTGTACATTGAATATATGAACTAGATGGTTTTCTTGATTTCCCGAAAAATGCAGAAGTCTATCTGAAGACTTAAAATCAAAGCCTTCAAGGATACAATGCTTTTCTTGGTGGAATGGGGGTAGGGGAGCAAGAAGTAAGGTCGAGGTCACATGTCCTTGGACACCATATCCTGTAAGAGTGGCTCGTGTAGTGTTTGTGGCTTGGGAAATACCATAATAAACAATTTTTGGCCAAATGTTTGTGACAGGCTTAAATATATGTACTCCATGTGACAGGAAAAGATCACTTCTTATCATGTCAGTGTGGAAATTCTTTTTTAAGGCAGCATTCTGGTAGGAGGGGAAGTGCTGAAACTCACGTGGTGTGGTATTCAGTGAGGCACGTCCACCATCCAGATATGACTCAGCACTGCAGGTAAACAACATGGATTTGCACAGTCTGATTGGTTTGGTCGCAAAGCAGACTCTTCAGTTTCTCCAGCATTCAAATCACCCTCATTCATTTCAGAGGCAGATCTAAATTAAAAATAGTTTTTATAGAGGTGTTTGCGTTTGGGTGAAGGGGCTGCTTCTATTTAGTACGCTGGCCTGTTGGCTTAAAGCTCTCTGAAAACAACACTTCTGCTGTCAGAAAGATTTGTTCCCTTCAGAGAAGTGAGAATAACTTTCTTTCCTTTCCCATCATGTGTTCCTTCCTTGTTTTCTCATGGATTTCACTGGGGTCAGGTCGATTCGGTGAAGTACCCTCTTGCTTGAGGTGCTGCCCTAAATGCATTGTGGGCCATTACCTACTGGTAGAAACCATACGGAAGAGGCATAAATGCTACTGAGATGTGCAGGGCAGGGAGAGTGTCTGAAGGTACTGTTTCATTTGGAAGAAATTATGCTTTTTTGCTGTACAGAAGCAGCACAAGATGAGACTGGGTGTGAGGCTTTTTATAAATTATGTGATCTTCAAAATACGTATTCTGTTTCTCCTGCAAATACTAATATTTTTTCCTGTAATACAGCAATAACCAAGAATAACTAGCTTTTTTGCAGAAAAGAGGAGGACTGTATTTGGGTGGGAGCTCTAATGTAGATGGGGGAAGTTTATGCGAATACTTGTTTGGATTGAATGGTGATGGCCAGCTCATTCAATATGTGTCTCTGAAAATAAAATAAGCCGAATCTTGTGTAAAGACTGACTTTAGAAAGTTGCTGGCATCATCTTCAAAGCTGTGCAAACTCCTTCCCGTTTAGTGCAGACTTCCTTAATTGTGAGAAAATCACGTTACAGCTAAGTAACCTTGTATTAGACTCCCAGTAAGTGTTCTTAACTGAAATAATTGAGTATCCTATTCCTCTTGCGCTTTAAAATGAAAGCTTTTGCAATTTGTATCATGGTAATGAATGCCTTGTGATTCCCTGAGCAAACAAAATATATCGCTAGTAAGACATTCTGCATAAATGCTTGGACTGGAGCTTCTTCATTTCTCCCTGTTTTCGCAGAACTCATTCAATGCAGTTTTCACTTAGGGGCTAGATTTTGTTGTCTTGCTCTTTGCATGACTTTGGAACTGTCACATTTTGCAAAGGATCCTACTGCCTCTGCTCACTTGCTCTCCAGTGTCTGAGCCTTTTGCTAGCAAATCACAGAAAAAAATGTACAAAATTGTTTTAGAGGGTAACTCAGTGATCTTAGCTAGAACTTACTGGAAACCACTAAAACAGCTGTAGTTTTATTTTAAGGGGCAGGGACGGTGAGAGTTAGAACTTGTGTGAACGTGTCATCTCCAAGAGAGAGCTGCATGGGCGCTATTTCACCAGTGAACGATCTTTGGTAGCAGAACCTAGTGAAGTATACAAAATAATAATGTATTCTCTGGCATCTATTTAAAGTGGGCAAAGGTACCAACCTGGCCTTACTTAATTTCAGAAATAGTTTCAAGTGAATTGTGAGAGCTCTCCATGATGATGGGTATTTTGGAGGAGAGGGAGAAGGGAGAGCTTCTTTTCTTTGAAGACAGGTATATTTTATTGTTTTCTGCACAGAAGAAGAAAGCATCTTGTGAGCACAGAATAAGTACAGGTGAGCCTTATGGGTTTTGGTTTTGGGTTTGGTTTTTCTTGCTGTGTAAGAGAAGGGTAAAGTGTGGAATTGCAGCTTAAGACTCTGATTATTGTGATTATTATCAGGATTTTGTGTAAGAAGCTGAGTGGTAGTTTCCTGATTCCCAGCTCTGGTGTAAGACTGAGTAGGAGGAGAGCCTCTGTTGCAAGCTGGTGTTGCACATCTTATCCTCATCAGCGGGTTAAAAGTAGGATGTAATTCTGCCCTGTGTTATACCTCTGTCACCGCTCCCTTCATCAATCTATTTATGGCATGCAGGCTCTACTGATTTTGCCTCTGCCATCATCCATGGAGGAGTGGGCTTATGTGAATGTTGGTTTTAACAGATCAGGAAATCTGGCCTTTCCTTTGGGTGATCAAATACTATGTTTGTGAGTCTGTCACAATGCAAACACATGTGGATTTGTATGAACTGCTGTAGATAGCATTGGTATTTTGTAATTTGTGTATCCAAGTCATAATGAAAGAAAAACATTGACTTCGAGAAAATGGTGTGCAATTAAACACAGTTGGTATGGTAATTCAGTTAACAGAAAAAGTCAATATATGCTCAGAGGCATGGTTTGATAAATTTCAGGTTTGCAGGCGGTAATTTGGAATAGCACTTTTTGTGAGCTGTACATCTGTGGGGATAGCATTCAAATCGGGATTTGCAGTAACTACTGACTAATACTGTAGCAGTTTTGTTGATTTGGGGAAGAACTGGCCTTTTTTTTTTTCTTTTGAAACAATTGCATATAAAACCAGGTTTCCTTTAGGTGCTGTGACAGAGTTGTGATGTGTAAAATGAAGTTTGTTAGGTTTTTTTTTCTTAAAATTCAGATGAGTTTATGTATTAGAATTTAATACAACAACTTTCCTGAAAAATTAGGACCGTGTATTAAAACTTTTGGACGTACAAGACTAGTGGTGTATTTCTGGTTTTATTGCAGCAGCAGCAGCAGAAAGGGGATGTTGGTTCAAAGTGCAAGTCCACTAATAAATTTCCAGCGAAGTGAAAGAGCTTCAGGTCAGTCGTTTGTGAGAGAGATTTGAGACAGGAGGTGATGAAAGCCAAGTGATGTCACTTCAGTTACATTCTTATGAAGTCAGCTTTTGGTTTAATAAAGTGGAGTTGGAAGAAAATGTTTCTTAACATTGTATCTGATGCCAATGAAGGAGAGGCTGCACTCTAGTCTAATAGGACTTTGGGTAGATACCTGAGGCCTTGTCAACACCAGGGCAGTGTAACACTGTAGTGTTTGTTACCTTCCAGAAATTATTTTCTTCCTGGAGTCCCTTCACACTTAATGTGAGTACTGAAGGTGCAGTACCGTTCGTGTCTTCACTAGGTGGAGTTATGTCTGTTGAAACCTCAGTGTGCCGTGGGCATCCAGGCAGTGCTGCCTCACAGCGTGGCTTGGGATGTTTTTGTAGTGCACTGGGGAATGAACTGCACCAAACAATTCAGACGTTCAGGTCAACTCTTTTTCCTTCCTTGGTAATGCTTTCCTTCTGCATTTTCTAATTTTTGTACTGTTAATTTCTTAATTCTTCATGGTTTCTTTTCCTGCTGTGTTTCTATATCATCGGCAGGCATCCTGCAGAAGATCTCAGCTTTCTACTTCTTCTAAAGATAGGCCTCACCATGGGACTTCTGTTCTGCCTGAGAGACGCCCTGCTAGGCTGCAAGCCCCTGCAGAGATGTTACAAGTTACTTGTCCCAGCTTCAGCTATCTCATGTTCAGCTTAATGACTTCTCAAAGTCAAGCTTGTGGGACCTCTTGTCCTTTTACTTCAATATTGGACTGAAATTCCAATGAGAGCCCACACTCACAACACAGCTTTGCACTCCAGCACAATAATGCACAAGGTCCCTACCACTGATCTTCATAACTTACAGACTCTTTACATTCCCTTTGCTGCACAGCTCTTGTGTTTTAATTGGGTTACCTTTTACTTAAAAATAGTAGTGGTTCTGCAGACTGTGTGGTTTTTTTGAGGAAAATCGCATCCAAAATGGGGCTTATCTGTAAGGGAGCTTTGTGAGCATAGCCAGTAGGTAAATCCTTTTCCTCAGAGGTTCAAGTGTGATAGTCAATCCCTATAAACTCTGAGAGGTAGCAGAGAGACAAACACTCTGAACTGTGAAAAGAATGTTTCCCACTCTTATGCAGTATACTGGGTTTGTGAAAATAGATGTATACCCTTTATAATTACAAAGAATGCTGACTGCAGTAACTGATCAGAACTTGATTGGGCCACCATGGACATAGAGTGATTACCTCTGGAGTGTTAAGGAAACTTTGCTAATACTATTTCAGGAGCCTCAATATGCACTATAATACAGTTCTCGACCTCATGGTTACAGCCTGAACTAGGTTCTCCGCTACGACAAGTTCTGTTTGACATGGCAGAGGGAGAGTGCTAGCAAGAGGCCTGGCCTGTACTGATCACCAAGCAGTATTCCCCTTCCCAGTGGTTTACATGGCTGATCAGGACAGCTTTAATTTTAAATCCTCTTTCTGTGACCCTGTGATATTTATCCTCTGTCCCTCCATATGCAGTAGCTCAATCACAGTTCCATTCCTTTCGATTGTCTGCATATCCCACTTCTCACCCAGGCAGAAGATTATATGGGAGAATGGAGAGAACCTGCACCCCAAATTACTCAAAGAGAGCTGTGATAGCACATGTTTGCCGGTGGGGGTCCCACAAGAGCTCTGCATTGATGCAGGGAAAGCAGGCTTCCACTGTATGTGCAAGGAGATAGAATTGCATTCAATTTGTCCTCATAGACCAGTACAAGAGCTAAAGGCAGGTATGAAAGCTGAGATAGTCATCTCGTCATGACAGGAGCTGGACTGTGAGGCATCATCTTAGATTACCCAAAATACAATTTTACCCTGCAGCTGTGGGGAGTCTTGTTCAGATGTGCTTATATGCTGGCACGTGATTATTGAATGTGTTGTGCTAGAGAGGTGGACCAGGGAGAAGAACAGCTAGCCTTAACTTCACTGCTGCTTGGGAAGTCCTTGGAGATGCTTTGATTAATGATGATTTTGAGTTATTTTAACAAAAAATTTAAAAATCATGTGTCTCTTCAGCTAGTTGCACCAACACATACAGTTCTTTCTCTGTCCTCCCAGAAAGCTGATCCAGTCAAAATCAAAATTCTGATGAAGGTGAGG